GCGTTTCTATGTACTTAATAATTATTGTGTAAAATTGATTATTATTTTTTGTTAGTCATTTATACTTGCAAAATAAATTTGATAAAAATTACAAATAATTTAATTTAATAATTATAAGTTTTAATAAAGTAATTATTTGTTTAAATAAATTATTTAGTTAGTCTTATAATTGTTAGCTATATAATAATATACTTGTATATTAATATTATAATATATTATTTATAATTAAATATAAGTTATAAGCTATCAAATAATTGTCTTGAATTTAAATAATATTGCTTATTGTGTTAAATAAAAATTGTATTTAGTTCAATATTATATAAAAATAATATGTAATTAAATTTTCTATAAAAATATTTATTTTTTTACTTTTTAAACTAACATTATGTCAATATATCATAGAATATGTAAAATAAAAAGCATATATCAATGTATAAAACAAATGTTTTTTTTGTGATTTTTGCCACTTTTTAACCCTTTTTATATCACTTGAGATCGAAAACCTTTAGTAACCCTGGTGTAAATATAAAATTTTAATTTAATTATTGAAAACTGTAAATAAATTTTTAGGCAAGATAATTTTTAGCATATGTTTAGCAATGATTGTTTGTCTATTTAAGTATTATAAATTTATTGTTATTTATATTGATATATAAATATACATATATATGCTATTATTCAAATTATTATCTAGTTTAGTATTAAATTATAATAATAAAATTGTTATCTATTGATATTTATAATATATTTCATAAATACTTTATATATATATATATATATATATATATATATAGCAACAAATGTATAATAATTAAATAGATAATAATAAAATAATAAATCATTGTTAAACATGTGCTAAAAAAAAGTATATAGAGTTTATAAATTTAATTATTTTTTAAAGTATAATAAATTCAATTGAAATAATTAATAATTATTAATGTTTATCTATAAAATTGAATTGATTTTTGCAAAAATTTTCAATAATTTCTGGCAATTTTGTAAATTCATTTCCCGTTTGTATTCGTTGAGATATTTTCTTCAATTTTTCGGCCAACACTTTATCATTCAATAGACAATCAATAGCTCCCAATAGCTGTCGTTCCGTACATTTGTGAACGTCTAGTCTAATACCGAAACCCGATTCATGTATTCTCTGTGAGTGATCGTATTGATCGCCAAATACGGGCAAACATATCATAGGTTTACCAAAATACATGGTCTCACATATGGTATTAATACCGCAATGAGTAATAACTAAATCGACCAGGGGCAGTATTGACAATTGGGGTAGACTTGGTTGTCCCCATACATTATCGGGCAACGGGTAGTCATCTAAACGGTCGCCCAATGACATTATAAATCTATGCTGAGATTTACCCAACATTTTAATCAAACGAATCATATTTTGTCGATCAGATGCACAGATAGATCCCATTGCAAAATAAATCAATTTTCCTGATTTGTCCCGTAGTTTGTCGGGTATTATAAATTCTTGTCCATCATAATCTGATTCAATAAGCATATGATCAACTCGTATGACATTTTTCGGTAACGGTTTAATCTGATCATACAATTGGTCCATTTCCTTAGGATAGGCATAAATATTGAGACAGTTGTCAATCGGGAATAAGACATTTTCCGGTAACGGCTGACATCCCATTGAAACTAAATAAGTATTATATGGTTTCCAAATAGCATTCAATGGTTTTATAATTTTTTTCTTAAACTCGTCGTATATTTCAGGTTTACAATCAATAGGTAAACCTATTTATAATAATTTAATAAAAAATTCAACAAATTATTATTATTTATATATATTTATAAACTATATTCTTTATTATATACCCGATCCATGCGGCGGTAATAGTCTATCGCCAATACCAGTCAATCGTGCCGTAATCCATATCCTGATCAACGGGATTCCCAATTTAACTATTGCCGGACAAACAATACAAGAATCTGTAACTATTAGATCCGGTTTGACCACTGCTAACACCTGATCCAGTAATTGATTATCACTACGAAAACTATCTATTGATGACAATTCGTTGAATATTAGATATGCTTTTTCATGGTTCAGTAGTTTATTGCTTAGTAAACCCGTTTCTAACCAATAATTATTGTCAGCCAATTGTTGCCAAATTTTTATTCCCGGTTCCGGTTCGATCATGATTTCTACATTGGTTCCCAAAAACTTGTCTAGTTTTTTGTCAGCTGTTTCCTGGTTGGTCAAGTATATAACCCTATGCTCAGCACTACTGGCCAGCTGTCGGGCCACATTGACGGCCATATTTAAATGACCAGTCATTTTGGTTATAATAAACAATATTTTCATATTTATTATTATTTATTAATTAACAAACTTTTTAATATACACAAAAAAAATAATTTACAAAATATTAATAATAATATAAGTAAAATATAGTATACAATATGATAGTATTACTTCAATTTATATGTTAGAAAATAATTATTCAAAAAATATTATTCTATCAATTATATACTACTCTACACATTTGCATTTTTATTTAATTGAAATGATATAGCTAATTGTTTTAAATAAATTAAAATAATAAATGTTTAAGTAAGTGACAAAGTATTAATAATTAAAATATTTTATATTTTAATTAAAGTAAAAACATTACATTAAATATTTTAATAAATATTTTATATTACGTACATACTGTACTATATGTGTTTACTTATTTTTTTTATAATAATAAAATATTTGTAAATAGTTTTCAATTATTTATTTAAATTATTAAATCATTTTACGTACGTATTATTTTTATTATAACTAACTACTAAAAAAATGTTGCAAATATTTTAAATTGTTTTATTAAATTATTAACAAAATAAAGTAAACTTGAAAATAAATTTGAACATAAGTGACAAAAATGTTTTTTTTAACTTTTTTTGCCATTTATTTAAACTAATAATTATTAAATATAATATAAAAAGTAATAAAAAAATTTTATATTATAGTTCTAAATAAATATATAGTTTATTAATTTATTACATATTAAGTTAATTTACAATAATATATTTTTTGTATGTTTCAACATATTATTTAGGAATTTTTTTTATTAAATAAAATATTATTTAAAAACACTAAATAAACCTAATAATTAAAATTAATCAATAAAATCTAATTATTAAAATTTTTATAGATACTTTTAAGAGATTTTGTACTAATTTAAATAATATAAATTTAGTCAAATTAATATATTAATTAATGTTTATCAATAAAATTAAATTGATTTTTACAAAAATTTTCAATAATTTCTGGCAATTTTGTAAATTTATTGTCCGCTTGTATTCGTTGAGATATTTTCTTTAATTTTTCGGCCATCACTTTATCAGTCAATAGACTGTCAATAGATCCCAATAACTGCCGTTCCGTACATTTGTGAACGTCTAGTCTAATACCGAAACCCAATTCATATATTCTCTGTGAGTGATCGTATTGATCGCCAAATACAGGCAAACATATCATAGGTTTACCAAAATACATGGTCTCACATATAGTATTAATACCGCAATGAGTAATAACCAAATCGACCAGGGGCAGTATTGACAATTGGGGTAGACTTGGTTGTCCCCATACATTGTCGGGCAAAGAGTAGTCATCTAATCGGTTACCCAATGATACTATAAATCTATGCTGAGATTTGCCCAACATTTTAATTAAACGAATCATATTTTGTCGATCAGATGCACAGATAGATCCCATTGCAAAATAAATCAATTTTCCTGATTTGTCCCGTAGTTTGTCGGGTATTATAAATTCCTGTCCATCAAAATCAGATTCAATAAGCATATGATCAAAACGTATGACATTTTTTGGTAACGGTTTAATCTGTTCATACAATTGGTCCATTTCCTTAGGATAGGCATAAATATTGAGACAGTTGTCAATCGGGAATAAGACATTTTCCGGTAACGGCTGACATCCCATTGAAACTAAATAATTATTATATGGTTTCCAAATAGCATTCAATGGTTTTATTAATTTTTCATTAAACTCAGCAAATATTTCAGGTTTAGAATCAATAGGTAAACCTATTTATAATAATTTAATTAAAAAAAATCAGTTATTATTATATATATATATTAAAAACTCTTTATTATTTATTAGATACCCGATCCATGCGGCGGTAATAATCTATCACCAATACCGGTCAATCGTGCCGTAATCCATATCCTCATCAACGGGATTCCCGATCTAGCTATTGCCGGATAGACAATACTAAAATCAGTAACTATTAGATCCGGTTTGACCACTGCTAACACTTGATCCAGTAATTGATTATCACTATCTAAATTATCTATTGATTTCATTTCATTGAATATTATCGATGCTTTTTCATAGGCCAGTAGACCATCACTTAGTAAACCCGTTTCTAACCAATAATTATTATCAGTCAATTGTTGCCAAATTTTTATCCCCGGTTCCGGTTCGATCATGATTTCTACATTGGTTCCCAATAACTTGTCTAGTTTTTTGTCGGCTGCTTCCTGTGAGGTCAAGTATATAACCCGATGCTCAGCACTAGTGGCCAGCTGTCGGGCCACATTGACGCCCATATTTAAGTGACCAGTCATTTTACATATTATAAACAATATTATCATTATTATAAATATATATATATATATTAATTAAACATAAACAGTATACTTAAATAATTATCAAATTATTATTTAATTTTTAAGTAATTTTTTCAAATACTAAATATTTATCTAAAATAGTAGTTTATATTATAAATATTTTATATTTATACTAATTTTACTGAATATTTTAGAAATTTTTTCTGAAATTTATTTTCACAAATATATTAAATTAAATAAAATATTTTCTTAAAAATTCAAATTCAATACACTATTCAATCACTTTTTTTTATTTAACTCATCATTACTTATGCAAAAAAAGTGTAAAAATTATTGAAATTGTTTGTTTTAAAACTTTTATAAGTAAAACAAATATTTAGCTATAAAATTAATGCTGATAAATAATTATTATTGATATATATATATAATTTATCTGGGATTTGTTAGCAAGTTTATTTTTTACCCATAAATTTTAACTAATGTGTCAAACAATTTAATTTCTAATATATTATTTTTTTTACTGATATAACATGTAAATAAATGTATAAATTAAAACAATAATTTTTATTTGTTAACAATTAGTAAATATTTTAAATTGTTTAGCTTGAATATGTATTTTCAATATAGCTAAAAATTTTAATTTAATTGAACATAAAATACATAAATTTAAATAAAAATATATTTTTACTAGTGTTTGATTATTATTTTATAGATTTAACTATTTTTAAACTGTTTAAATAAAAAATTATAACATATTTATTAATTATAATTAAATATTATTAATGTTTATCAATAAAATTAAATTGATTTTTACAAAAATTTTCAATAATTTCTGGCAATTTTGTAAATTTATTGTCTGCTTGTATTCTTTGTGATATTTTTTTCAATTTTTTGGCCAACACTTTATCAGCCAATAGGCTGTCAATAGATCCCAATAACTGCCGTTCCGTACATTTGTGAACGTCTAGTCTAATACCGAAACCCGATTCATGTATTCTCTGTGAGTGATCGTATTGATCGCAATATACTGGCAAACATATCATAGGTTTACCAAAATACATGGTCTCACAAACGGTATTAATACCGCAATGAGTAATAACCAAATCGACCAGGGGCAGTATTGACAATTGTGGTAAACTTGGTTGTCCCCATACATTATCGGGCAAAGGGTAGTCGTCCAAACGGTCGCCCAATGATACTATAAATCTATGCTGAGATTTACCGAACATTTTAATCAAACGAATCATATTTTGTCGATCAGATGAACAGATAGATCCCATTGCAAAGTATATCAATTTTCCAGATTTGTCCCGTAGTTTGTCGGGTATCTTGAATTGTTGTCCATCAAAATCAGATTCAATAAGCATATGATCAACACGTATGACATTTTTCGGTAACGGTTTAATCTGATCATACAATTGGTCCATTTCCTTAGGATAGGCATAAATATTGAGACAGTCGTCAATCGTGAATAAGACATTTTCCGGTAACGGCTGACATCCCATTGAAACTAAATAATTATTATATGGTTTCCAAATAGCATTAAATGGTTTTATGATTTTTCTCTTAAACTCATCGTATACTTCAGGATTACAACCTATAGGTAATCCTATTTATAACAATTTAATAAAATTATTCAATCAATTATACTTGAAAAATATATTAATGATTTATATATTAGATGGTTTAGAGTAGTGTTAAATAAAAATAAAATGTGATTTAAAAAAAAATCTATATTCAGTGGTATAGGTATCAAATTAAAAAACTTTCTCAGAAAAATAGATCAATTTAATTCAATATATTATTTATTAGATACCCGATCCATGCGGCGGTAATAGTCTATCGTTAATGCCGGTCAATCGTGCCGTAATCCATATCCTGATCAACGGGATTCCCGATCTAGCTATTGCCGGATAGACAATATTAGAATCAGTAACTATTAGATCCGGTTTGACCGCTGCTAACACCTGATCCAGCAATTGATTATCACTACGAAAACTATCTATTGATTGCATTTCACTGAACACTAGATACGCTTTTTCGTGGACCTGTAGATCACCATTTAGTAAACCCGATTCAACCCAATAATTATTGTCACCCAATCGTTCCCAAACTTTTATTCCCGGTTCCGGTTCGATCATGATTTCTACTTTGGTTCCCGATAGCTTGTCTAGTTTTTTGTCGGCTATTTCCTGTGAGGTTAAGTATATAACCCGATGCTCAGCTCTAGTAGCCAACTCTCGGGCCACATTGACAGCCATGTTTATATGACCAGTCATTTTAGATATCATAAACAATATTATCATTATTATTATTATTAATTATATTTAATTGATTTACAAAATAATAATTACTTTACTATAGTTTTTAATAAAATATATTCATAAATAAATATCAAATTAATATTTTGTTTATAATGTTTTTTTCAAAATTCTACATTAATAAATATTTCTATAAAAAATATTAGTTTTTATAGAAACTTTAATTGTAATTGTAGTTATTTTATATTTAATATAATAATAATAATAATTTATGAATATTTTTACAAAAAAATGCTTACGGAATTTTTTTTTGTAATAATAAAATATAATAAATAAACTAAAATATTTTCTAAATAATTATAAATAATTATATGACACATTATATTATAAACATTTTATTTACTCATTCATCATTATTTAGACAAAACTTATATTTTTTAAAATTTAATTTTATAAATAACAAATATTTGCCTCTAAAATAAAAACTGATAAAATTAGTTTTGAGATATATTGATAATTTATCTGGTTGAACTGTTATTTATTATTATTTATAATTATAAATTATGTATTTTTATTTTTATATTATTTTTTTTTTATATTTATATATACATTATTTTATTATTTACATATACTGTATTAATAGATAAAAATTTGATTATTGTAATTTAATACTAAAGTACAGTATTTATAATAATAATAATAAAATATTATCTATATATCAATACTTAATTTTTGAATGTTTTTATCATAAAAATTTATTTTAGCAAAAAAAAATCATTTTTTTCGACAATTTTGTATAAATAATAATTATTAATATTATTATTAAAATATAAATTAAATATAAAATTTTACTATATTACTGTATAAAAGTAATTATAAATATTTTACATACTTTACTAGTAATTATTTTCTCTAATATAATAAATAAAATAAAATATTTATGTAAATAGTTGTAAACAATTATACGACATTTTTTTTATAATTTCTAGCATTTTCCTAACATATTCATCATTAGTTGTAAAAACAAAGTTTCAAATATTTGAAATTGTTTGATAAAATATTTTACTGAATACTAAACTGGAAAAAACTAACTGGATACAAAACAAATGCTAATTAAATGTTATTTTTTAGATAAAAATCTATGATTTAATTATTGTTTATAATTTATATTATAACTGTTAACAAGTGATCATAAATAAAAAATGTATTCAGACATACATTTAATTTTATTATAAAATACTACTTTAATTTACTTTATAATATGTTATTATCTTATTTAAGTAAAAATATTTATTTTATATAATAAGTCTATATTTTTGTAGTTATTTGTAATTTGTAGTTATAATTGTTTAAATTAATTTGTATTTTAATATAAATTATTGTAGTTAAAGTCAAATAAATTACAATAATTTTTTATTTAGTTTTTAACTAAAAAATAAAGTCCATTATAAAAAAACATTTATATTATTTAATTTAATTACTGTAATTTAATGTTTATTAGTACTGTATATGTATTTTTAAATAAATAAAATTTTAATTTTGATTTAGATTCAGTATATTTTAAAATTAAATATCTTTTTTTAAATTTTTGTCTTTAAATAAAATCTACGATTTAATTATTGTTTATAATTTATATTATAACTGTTAACAAGTGATCATAAATAAAAAATGTATTCAGACATACATTTAATTTTATTATAAAATACTACTTTAATTTACTTTATAATATGTTATTGCCTTATTTAAGTAAAAAATATAATTTTATAGAATAAATCTATATTTTGTTGTTATTTGTAATTTTTAGTTATAAATATTTAAATTAATTTATATTATAATATAAATTATTTTGGTAAAAGTTCAATTATAATAATTTTTCATTTAGTTTTTAACTAAAAAATAAAGTACATTATAAATAAACATTTATATTATTTAATTTCTGTAATTTAATGTTTATTAGTATATGTATTTTTTAAATAAATAAAATTTTAATTTCGATTTATATTCAGTATATTTAAAAATTAAATATCTTTTTTAAAATTTCTTTCTTTAAATAAATAATTTTATAACAATTACTTATTAATTATATTAATATTTCAATATATAATAAATATTAATAAATAAATTTTAATAGATTTTGCAGAATAAATCTGTACTAGGTTAACTAATAGACTAATATAATCCAATAGTTAAAATATAATATTATAATTAATGTTTATCAATAAAATTGAATTGATTTTTGCAAAAATTTTCAATAATTTCTGGCAATTTTGCAAATTCATTGTCCGCTTGTATTCGTTGCGATATTTTCTTCAATTTTTCGGCCAATACTTTATCAGCCAATAGACTGTCAATAGATCCCAATAACTGGCGTTCCGTACATTTGTGAACGTCTAGTCTAATACCGAAACCCGATTCATGTACTCTCTGTGAGTGATCGTATTGATCGCTATATACTGGCAAACATATCATAGGTTTACCAAAATACATGGTCTCACATATGGTATTATTACCGCAATGTGTAATAACCAAATCAACCAGAGGCAGTATTGCCAATTGCGGTAGACCTGGTTGTCCCCAGACATTATCGGGCAGATTATAGTCACTAAGTTCTGGACACACGGCTACTATAAACCGGTTCCTAGATTTACCTAATATATCGATAATACGGACAAACAGTTTGGGATTCATTGAACACAGAGTACCCATTGAAAAATAGACTAATTTTCCCGATTTGTCTATCAATTTATCGGGTATTTCAAACTGTTGTTCCCCTACACGACACTGACGTAACATATGATCAACTCGTATAACATTTTTAGGTAGTCGTTCAATGTTTTCATATAATTGATTCAATTCCCTGGGATGGGCATATATATTCAAACAGTTATCTATATTGAAAAACATATCACTGGGCAATGGACGGCAGTTATTAGTCAACATATATTGATTATATGATTCCCATATTTGTTTGATTGAATTGTGAAAATGTTGCCTAAACTCGTCAAACATTGCTATATCGCTATTGATTGGCAAACCTATTATATTTCAAAAAAAGTAAAAATAAAATAATTTAATTTATTAATTTTTTAGTTTTAACTAATAGTTTTTTCTAAGTAAGTATTTATTTGATAATTTATAATTAGTATAATAATTAGTATATAATGTTAATTGAATTTATCAATGTATTATAGAAATTAATTATAACATTTGTAATTAAAAACACAACACAATTACCCGATCCATGAGGTGGTAGTCTATTATGGTTTAAACCGCTTAGTCTGGCCGGTACCCATATCTTGACTATCGGTCGACCTGACTGTTCAATAGCCGGATAGGTGTAGGCATAGTCGGTAACAATCAGATCCGGATCAACTGAGCCAATCAATTTTTCTATTAGTAGATTATCCTGGTCAATTGCATTGAATATACATTTCATTGCATGACCAATAATAGTACATTGTTTGTACAATGGGGTACTATCGTTAAGCAGGTTAGTCTCGGACCAAAAATCACTGGTTCCTAGACTACTAGGACCTAACAGTAGGCCCGGTTCGGGTAACCGCACCAATTCAACATTATTGTCGTCGTTGATGTATTTATTAATATTGAACGCTTCTATATGTTCGCGTGTGGCCATCACTGCCAACCGATGGCCACGTTTGGCCAACTGCTGGACCAAACCGATACACATATTGATGTGTCCCATATGATAGTTAATAATAAATAATATTTTCATTTTGCTTGATTGTTTGTAAATCTAATTAATAAATTTTAACCTTGGTATATATACTGTTTATGATAGTTAATACTTTTAAGTAATAAATTTAGTTTTCTTTCATTGTTGTTTCAATATTGTATTAAAAAACAACTACTAATTAATTTCTATTTTATAATGCAAATAAATTATTCAATATATAAAATATTTCTACAGTATATCTACTATAAATCTACTTGTATATGATTACAGGGTTTCACCATTAAATTTCAATGTAGTTCAAAACTATTTCAATAGTAAACATATTTATTTCACTCTGAACAAATATATTTCAATAGTAAACTTATTTATTTCATAATAAACGAAATTATTTCAATAGTAAACGTAATTATTTCCGAGCGAACAAATATATTTCAAAAGTAAACGTAATTATTTCCTAACAGCACTTATTTATTTCCAAGTAGTGCACAACACATGTTTTGATTATTAAATGTGATTATTTGCGCAATTAAATAATAAAATAGTAAAACATGAATGGATTACAAGAAATGGATCCAATTATTGTCACGACAGGAAAACGATCAAAAAAGACGATAAGTGATGAAATACGACAATTTATTATTGATAAAATGGAAAATAAAATGGGACCGACAGATGTGGGCAATCTGTATGATATAAATTCTTCAACTGTTTGTAAAATATACAATAATTATTTAAAAACAGGCAATAAAACAAAACAAAAGCTAAGTTTTTTTTTGAAACAAATCTATTCTAGACAGCCACTATAAAATTATTTGACCAATCTTTTATAAATCAAAAATAAAAAATCAAACAAATAAGAAGTAAAAACTTTTCGGTCTCAGCATGTCTGTGGATTCGTTATTTTTTTATCAATTTCAAGACAAATCTTACGATTCCACAGAATATAGTGACATTTGTTCCAGAAAGAAGAAACAGTCCAGATGTGATACAAACCCGTTTCGAATATGCCATTAAATATAATGAAATGATGGCAAACAAATAGAAAATGTTTTTCTTAGACGAAATGGGAGTTCAGGTAGAAGCGCCGAATTGTTAATTGTGTTATATTTAATATAGGTGTAGATGCGCACCAATTATGGCCGCGCGGTATCTGGTAAACCCGCATACAAAAAAGTCAAATCAATTAGAAGTAAAAACTTTTCTGTGTCAGCGTCCATGTCTGTGGATTTATTATTCTTTTACCAAATCCAAGACAAATCATATGATTCAACAGAATATATTGATTTTTTAAGTCAATTGTTTGCCCACTTGTTGAACAATTCAATTACTGGTGCATTTTTGAATATAGATAATGTTAGGTAACTATTTTGTGATGTTTTCTATGTCTCGACATGTCTTATCTATTTTAATCAATTTTTATTTTAATGAAAACTCATCAATTAATTTTTGTGTGAAAACTTTTATTTTATTTATAATAATAAACTTTGCCTTTACTCATACCAAGGTTTCATAAAACAGAAATAGTACGAGAATTGGTTCAGTCTAATGGTCACAATGTCGTATTCCTCCCCCATATAATCCATTTTTAAATCCAATTGAAGAATTATTTAGTCAATGGAAAGGCTTAGTTAAAAAAAAGTGTTGACACAAACAAATGTTGATGAATTGTATGAATCAGTTCACAACACAAGTAACCGTTTTACCGAAGAAAATTGTGAAGGATATGTCAAACATATGGAGTCATATATGAGTCGTTGTCTTTCTAAAGAAGTTATTCTTAATTAGACATATAAAATCTATGAACAAATTAATCAATTTAATTATAATTATTAAATATTAACTTAAAATTACTATTATTATTTTTATTGAAATAAATAAGTTTACTTTTGAAATAGCTGTGTTCACAATGAAATAGATACGTTCACTATTGAGATATATTTGTTCGATCGGAAATAAATACGTTTACTATTGAAATATATTTGTTCAGGGTGAAATAAATATGTTTACTTATGAAATAGTTTTGAACTACATTGAAATAGAATGGTGAAACCCTGTAATATATATTTATTTATACTATTAATATAATAAGTTTATTACTGTATTTTTAAAAAAATATTGATAGTTTAATTGTTATAATCTATAAATTACAGTGTATTATTTAATATATAGTATGTAATGCTATTAAATAATTAATAATAATATAAATATAAAGTTATTTCATAATTATTATATTATAGAATTAATCATTAAATATATTATATATATATATATATATATATATATACAGTATATATATATTTTGTTTAATTAGATTATTAATTTATAAATTATACTATATTTTTCAAAATTAAAAGTTATTTTAATTACAATATTTTTCTATTCTTTTCTAACAAAATTGGTTTTAATTTCTATAATAAAGTTCTAGTTTTTCAATAATAACTTTTCAAATACTGTCGGTATGTTTGCAATACTGTTATCCGATTGAATTCGTTGAGCGATTTGTCGCAATCTATCCAACAAATCATAATCACTGAGCAGTTTGTCAATAGCCTCCCGGAGCTCATGTTCTGTACAGTTATTAGCATCCAATCGGATACCATACCCCAGATCATGAATACGCTGTGCGTTATCTAACTGATCGACAAACACTGGTAACACTATCATAGGTTTACCAAAATACATGGTCTCTGTCACCGAATTGTTGCCGCCGTGAGTGATAACCAAATCGACTTCGGGTAGCACTTGAATCTGCGGGACAGTTGTCTCGCCCCACATGTTGTCAGGTAGACGATAGTCCTTGTCGTTGTCGAGGCCAAGCATTGGACCTTTTGATACAATAAATCTGTGTTCAAGTTTGGCCAACAATCTGATCAATCGTTTCATGTTTGCCACATTAGCCGAAGCCATTGTTCCCATTGAAAAGTAGATTAGTTTTCCCGGTTTGTCCACTAATGTCTCAGGTATGACAAACTGATAGTCGGATTGTTTCTCATCGCTTCTCATTAGATGATCGACACGATAGTAGTTTTCGGGTAACGGCTGATACTCCTGATAGTCCAGTTCTCGGGGATAAACATAAAGGTTAAGATATGGTGACGGATAGAAAAACTGCAATTTGTCTAACGGTTCGCAACCTTTGCCGACACAATAGTCGTTAAACTCTTTCCATGTGTTTCGTGTCATTTTGGCCAATGATTTCCTATACTCTGACCACTTGTTTTTGTCGCCAAATATGGAAAGTCCTATTCATTTGTTGTGTCATAAATATACAGTAATACTATGTCTTTAATTAAATTTTATATAAAATTATAATATATTTATAAAATAATTTGTTTTATTGTATTATTGAATATATAGTATAGATTTTTACTACCGTATTATACTCTATTTATAACTAATTTAATATACATAATATATATTAAGATAAAATGTATTTACAAATACAATTTAAAGTTGTTTTTTTGTCAAACAAATAAATAATAACACATGTATGAAAAAATATAATAATATTTTTATAATATCAGTACAACATACCTGACCATGGTGGCGGTAGCCTATCATCCGACCAACCCATAAGCGACAGTGGCTGAAAACTTGTTGTCCAAACCCATGGTATACCCGAAACTATAACCGAAGGTATGGCCAACAAATGATCGACAACTATAATATCGGGTTTCAAACTACTGATCACATCATCGATAATTATGTTTACTTTTCTAGCAATAGTCTGACACAAATCATTCATTCGTGTATTGAAAAAGTTGACCGACTTGTCCAGTGCCGGTATGTCCTGGAAATAGCCCTCTTTGTCGCATATCTGTGACCATACTTTAGTGCGATCGGCCGGCGAGTACTCAACATCCGTATCGTTATAGTAGACGGCATCGAAACCGTACGATTCGGGCAAACCGTGCCAATGATTACGGATGAGAAAGGTTACCCCGTGGCCAGCGGCCAATAATTGTTGGCCAATACAAACACAGGCGTTTATATGACCGACAGAGTCGACCGTAAATATTAAAACTTTCATAATATTATTTTTATTTTTTTTTGTTTAACTGTTAGTAGTTTATAGTTATCTAAATAGTTATTATAGCAGTAAATAATATATAATCACATATTAATTGTAGTATTCAACTATTAAATAGTTTCTATCAATATAAACTGTGTAATAATTTATAAAATAATTTATTCATTAACCGATTATTTAGCAAATATTTTAAATATTTATTTTTTTATTAAGTTTGTTATCTGAAATAATTTTATATCTATAATTTATATAAAGTTTTTATTTAGTTTTTAAATATTAAATAAAATAAACAATAAATTAACATATATATATATAATATAAATTTAATAATTGTAATTTAATGTTTATTAGTATATATATATTTATTAGCCTATTTAGGTTAATAGTAAAATTGTGACTCAAATACTATATGTTATTATATATTATAACAAAATAATAACTACTTTACTATACTATGGCTATACATTACTGTACTATAATTTTACAATACTATAAAATATATTTTTAAATAAATATCTATAATATTTTTCAAATACTACTATAATAAATATATCTATATATATATATATATTAAATATTAATTTTAATTGTATTCATTTTTTTATATTTTATTATTTAGGTGTAAATAATAAATAAATATTTTTGAAAATGATTTTTAAAATTCATAGTAACGAATATAATAAATAAAATAAAACATTTTCTAAATAGTTTCTAAACAAATATATGTATAATTTTATCATTTTTTTTTACTTATTCATCATTACTTAAAAGTTTTTAATTTATATACAAAATTATTTTAATAATAATAATAATTTATGAATATTTTTACAAAAAAAATGTTTACAGATTTTTTTTTTGTAATAATAAAATATAATAAATAAACAAAAATATTTTCTAAATAATTATAAATAATTATATGACACATTATATTATAAACATTTTATTTACTCATTCATCATTATTTAGACAAAACTTATATTTTTCGACAATTTTGTATAAATAATAATTATTAATATTATTATTAAAATATAAATTAAATATAAAATTTTACTATATTACTGTATAAAAGTAATTATAAATATTTTACATACTTTACTAGTAATTATTTTCTCTAATATAATAAATAAAATAAAATATTTATGTAAATAGTTGTAAACAATTATACAATATTTTTTTTATAATTTCTAGCATTTTCCTAACATATTCATCATTAGTTGTAAAAACAAAGTTTCAAATATTTGAAATTGTTTGATAAAATATTTTGTTTTTTATTTTTTTTTTGTTTAACTGTTAGTAAAACAGTTAGTTTATAGTTATCTAAATAGTTATTATAGCAGTAAATAATATATAATCACATATTAATTGTAGTATTCAAATATTAAATAGTTTCTATCAATATAAACTGTGTAATAATTTATAAAATCATTTATTCATTAACCGATTATTTAGCAAATATTTTAAATATTTATTTTTTATTGAGTTTGTTATCTGAAATAATTTTATATCTATAATTTATATAAAGTTTTTATTTAGTTTTTAAATATTAAATAAAATAAACAATAAATAAACATATATATATATATATAATATAAATTTGATAATTGTAATTTAATGTTTATTAGTATATATATATTTATTAGCCTATTTAGTTTAATAGTAAAATTGTGACTCAAATACTATATGTTATTATTAAATTTTTAAAATATTTGTTTTTAAATATAATAACATATTTTTAATTAATAATTTAATTATGTTCTTATGTTAACTAATAGATTAATATATTTAATAGTTATTTATATTAAATATTATTAATGTTTTTCAATAAAATTGAACGATTTTTGTAAAAATTTTCAATAATTTCTGGCAATTTTGTAAATTCATTGCCCGCTTGTATTCGTTGAGATATTTTATTCAATTTTTCGGCCAACAATTTATCAGCCAATAGACTGTCAATAGCTGTCAATAACTGTCGTTCCGTACATTTGTGAACGTCTAGTCTAATACCGAAACCCGATTCATGTATTCTCTGTGAGTGATCGTATTGATCGCCAAATACGGGCAAACATATCATAGGTTTACCAAAATACATGGTCTCACAAACGGTATTAATACCGCAATGAGTAATAACCAAATCGACCAGGGGCAGTATTGACAATTGTGGTAGACTTGGTTGTCCCCATACATTGTCGGGCAACGGATAGTCATCTAAACGATCACCCAATGATACAATAAATCTATGCTGAGATTTACCCAACATTTTAATTAAACGAATCATATTTTGTCGATCAGATGAACAGATAGATCCCATTGCAAAATAAATCAATTTTCCCGATTTATCCCGTAGTTTGTCGGGTACTATAAATTCCTGTCCATCAAAATCCGATTCAATAAGCATATGATCAAAACGTATGACATTTTTCGGTAACGGTTTAATCTGATCATACAATTGGTCCATTTCCTTAGGATAGGCATAAATATTGAGACAGTCGTCAATCGGGAATAAGACATTTTCGGGTAACGGCTGACATCCCATTGAAACTAAATAATTATGATATAGTTTCCAGAGATCATTAAATGGTTTTCTAATTTTTTCCCTAAACTCATCATATATTTCAGATTTACAACCCATAGGTAAACCTAAAAAAAATTATTTTTTTAAAATTAATTATTTTTAAAAAATTACATTTTTTTCATTTAATATTTTAGAGTTATGTAAGTTTTTATGATTTTAGTGTAAGTATAAGGTGGGGGTGTTTCTACCTTTTTATTACATTTATAAAATTTTAAAAATCAAAATATTTGATAATAAATTAAAATGTAAAATTAAATTATTACTTTTTTCAAATTGCAGTTTAAACAAATTAATATTTACTTTATATATAATTTTAATTAAAATCTTTTTGAATTTAATAAAATATTTTTTATTGGAAATTTTATTAAAAATTATATACCTATCATGATTTTTTCGTAATTAAGGCAACCCTATACCCCACCCTAAAATCGCAAACCTTCATTGACTTTGAAATATATATATTTATATATATTATATTTAAAAGTCTATATGATTTATTAGATTACCCGATCCATGCGGTGGTAATAGTCTATCGCCAATACCGGTCAATCGTCCAGTAATCCATATCCTCATCAACGGGATTCCCAATCTAACAATTGCCGGATGAACACTACAACAATCAGTAACTATTAGATCCGGTTTGACCACTGCTAACAATTGATCTAATAATTGATTATCACTACGAAAACTATCTATTGATGACAATTCATTGAATATTAGATATGCTTTTTCATGGACCTGCAGATCATCGCTTAGTAAACCCGATTCTAACCAATAATTATTGTCAGCCATTCGATCCCAGATTTTTATTCCCGGTTCCGGTTCGATCATAATTTCTACTTTCGTACCCAAAATTCTGTCTAGTTTTTTGTCAGCTGTTTCCTGGTTGGTCAAGTATATAACCCGATGTTCAGCTCTAGTAGCCAGCTGTCGGGCCACATTGACAGCCATGTTTATATGACCAGTCATTTTAAATATTATAAACATTATTATCATTATTATAATTGTTATTATTTATAATTAATAAATATTACAAAATAATAACTACTTTACTATACTATGGCTATATATTACTGTACTATAATTTTACAATACTATAAAATATATTTTTAAATAAATATCTATTAGGTGTAAATAATAAATAAATATTTTTTGAAAATGATTTTTAAAAATCATAGTAACGAATATAATAAATAAAATAAAACATTTTCTAAATAGTTTCTAAACAAATATATGTATAATTTTATCATTTTTTTTACTTATTCATCATTACTTAGAAAAAAAAAGTTTTTAATTTATATACAAAATTATTATTTAAATTTTTGTTTGAATAAATAATTTACATATTTTATATTAAATTATTTACTTTATATTAATAAAAAAAAGTAACAAATAATGTTTTTTTTTAAATAATTTGAAATAAAATTTATTGTTTGACTAAAATATTATAAAATTATACAAAATATATTTATTAATTATATTTCTAAAATTAAGTTATAATTTATAAATAAACAGTTTTTTTTAATTTCTATAATAAAGTTCTAGTTTTTCAATAATAACTTTTCAAATACTGTCGGTATGTTTGCAATACTGTTATCCGATTGAATTCGTTCAGAGATTTGTCGCAATCTATTCAACAAATCATAATCACTGAGCTGTTTGTCAATAGCCTCCCGGAGCTCATGTTCTGTACAGTTATTAGCATTTAATCGGATACCAAATCCTAGATCTTCTATACGCTGTGAGCTATCTAACTGATCGATAAACAGTGGCAACACTATCATAGGTTTACCAAAATACATGGTCTCGGCTATTGTATTGTTGCCGCCGTGAGTAATGACCAAATCGACTTCGGGTAACAACTGGATCTGCGGGACAGTTGTCTCGCCCCACATGTTGTCAGGAAGCCTATAGTCCTTGTCGGTGTCGAGCCCAAGAATTGGACCTTTTGATACAATAAATCTGTGTTCAAGTTTGGCCAACAATCGGATCAATCGTTTCATGTTTGCCACATTAGCCGAACCTAATGTTCCCATTGAAAAGTATATAAGTTTTCCCGGTTTGTCCAGTAATGTCTCAGGTATGACAAACTGATAGTCAGAGTGTTTCTTATCGCTTCTCATTAAATGATCGACACGATAGAAGTTTTCGGGTAGCGGTTGATACTCCTGATAGTCCAGTTCCCGGGGATAAGCATAAAGGTTAAGATATGGTGACGGATAGAAAAACTGCAATTTGTCTAACGGTTTGCAACCTTTACCGACACAATAGTCGTTAAACTCTTGCCATGTGTTTCGTGTCATTTTAGCCAAAGATTTCCTATACTCTGACCACTTGTTTTTGTCTCCAAATATTGAAAGTCCTAATATTTAAAAAAAATAAAATATTTAATTAATGAAAAATGTTTTATTTTATATATAAGTTTTATTTATTTGTGTGTATATATATAGATATAATATTATACAAATAGTTAATTGTTTTATATACCTGACCATGTTGGCGGTAGTCTATTATCAGACCAACCCATAAGCGACAATGGCTGCAAACTTGATGCCCAAACCCATGGTATGCCAGACATTATTACCGAAGGTATGGCCAAAAAATAATCGACAACTATAATATCGGGTTTCAAACCATCGATAACATCCTCAATAATTGTGTCCAATTTTTTAGCCATTAACAAACACATATCATGCATATGTATATTTAAAATGTTGACTGACTTGTCCAGTGCCGGTATGTCCTTGAAATAGCCTCCTTTGTCGCATATCTGTGACCATACTTTCAAGCGATCCTCAGCCGAGTACTCGACATCCGTATCGTTATAGTAGACGGCATCGAAATCGTACGATTCGGGCAAACCGTGCCAATGGTTACGTATGAGAAAGGTTACCCCGTGGCCAGCGGCCGATAATTGTTGGCCAATACCGACACACGAGTTTATATGGCCGACGGAGTCGATCATAAATATTAAAACTTTCATAGTTTTTGTTTTGTTTGTTTGTTTAACTGTTAATATATTTGAATATTATATAGAAATAAAATATAAACTAATATTTGATTGTATTTTTCAATTATTAAATACTATAATTTCTATCAATATATATATATATAGTGTCTAATAATTTATTGAATAATTTAGTCATTCTATGATTATTTAGCAGATATTTTAAATATTTATTTCCTTAGTTGTTAACTGAATGATTTTTATATCATATTTTTATTATTAGTATTAAAATTAATTTAATACTTAATTTTTATTAATTAATTACAATAAATTACTATACATATACTGTATACAACATATCAAATAACATATTCATTATATATAAATTACTCAAATTAATACATAGATAATATTTTATTGTTTGTTTGTTTATAAATTATAATGTAGTTATTCAATAAATATTCCATTAAATAAAATATATACAAAAAAACATTAATAGTTTTATATTATTTATTTAATATGTAATTTAGTCTATATTACTATCAATAATAACTATTAATAATTATTATACATTATATATTTACATTATATAATAGATTAAATTAGAGTCAATTAAATGAATTATTATAGATGTTATAGAAAATTGCTATTTAGCTATTTAATTGTTTGTAATCTAAACAAATAATTTTTTTTATATTTAAATATTCATAAAAAATAAATGTTAATAATGTTTAAACAGCAACTGATTTTTTTAAAATTTGAAATAAAATTAATTGTTTGCTTATTATATCTTTTTATTATACAATATATATATCATAAAGTATTAATATTTCTAGTAATAAGTTATTTTTTCTAAAGAGAATATATTTAATAAATTTCAGTATAAAATCTAGTTTTTCAATAATAACTTTTCAAATACTGTCGGTATGTTTGCAATACTGTTATCCGATTGAATTCGTTGTGCGATTTGTCGCAATCTATCCAACAAATCATAATCATTGAGCAGTTTGTCAATAGCCTCCAGGAGCTCGTGTTCTGTACAGTTATTAGCATCCAATCGGATACCATACCCCAGATCATGAATACGCTGTGCGTTATCTAACTGATCGATAAACACTGGCAACACTATCATAGGTTTACCAAAATACATGGTCTCGGCTATTGTATTGTTGCCGCCGTGAGTAATGACCAAATCGACTTTGGGTAGCACTTGAATCTGCGGGACAGTTGTCTCGCCCCACATATTATCAGGTAGCCTATAATCCTTGTCGTTGTCGAGACCAAGCATCGGACCTTTTGATACAATAAATCTATGTTTAAGTTTGGCCAACAATCGGATCAATCGTTTCATGTTTGCCACATTAGCCGAACCTAATGTTCCCATTGAAAAGTATATAAGTTTTCCCGGTTTGTCCAGTAATGTCTCAGGTATGACAAACTGATAGTCGGATTGTTTCTCATCGCTTCTCATTAGATGATCGACACGATAGAAGTTTTCGGGTAGAGGTTGATACTCCTGATAGTCCAGTTCCCGGGGATAAACATAAATGTTAAGATATGGTGACGGATAGAAAAACTGCAATTTGTCTAACGGTTCGCAACCTTTGCCGACACAATAGTCATTAAACTCTTGCCATGTGTTTCGTGTCATTTTGGCCAATGATTTCCGATACTCTGACCACTTGTTTTTGTCTCCAAATATTGAAAGTCCTAATATTTTATAATATATATAATATATATATACTGTATATACACTGTAATTAGTAAATAATAAAATTTTTATTGAAGCTCATTTTATAGAAGTTTTATATTTTTGTATATAATATTATAAAACAAAATGATTTTATTATTTATATTAATATTAAAATGTCTATTAAACCCCTAAAATTTAGCTTAATAAACAATAAACAAAATGTGTTGTATATATTGAAATAATTAATTTTTATATAAAATGGACATAAGTCTGCTTTATTAATACTGTAAATTTAGTAAATGGTTTTTTTTAATACCTGACCATGTTGGCGGTAGCCTATCATCAGACCAACCCATTAGCGACAAAGGCTGTAAACTTGATGCCCAAACCCATGGTATGCCCGAAACTATTACCGAAGGTATGGCCAACAAATGATCGACAACTATAATATCGGGTTTCAAGCCATTGATTACATTCTCAATAATTGTGTCTACTTTTCCAGTTATTGTCTGACAAAAATCACGTATTCTTGTATTGAAAAAGTTGACCGACTTGTCCAGTGCCGGTATGTCCTGGAAATAGCCCTCTTTGTCGCATATCTGTGACCATACTTTCAATCGATCGGCCGGCGTATACTCGACATCCGTATCGTTATAGTAGACGGCATCGAAACCGTACGATTCGGGCAAACCGTGCCAATGATTACGGATGAGAAAAGTTATCCCGTGGCCAGCGGCTGATAATTGTTGGCCAATACCGACACACGAGTTTATATGACCGACGCAGTCGACCATAAATATTAAAACTTTCATTGTTTTGTCTGTTTGTTATTTTGTTTAACTGTTAGTATATTTTTATAGAAATAAAATTTTAAACAAATATTTGATTGTATTTTTTAATTATTAAATTGTTTTTATTAATAACTGTGTAATACTTTATACAATAAATTACTCATTAAATGCTTATTTAGCAAATATTTTAAATTTTTTATTTTTCTCTCATTCATCTGATTATTATAATTATTATTATTAAATTAAAATTAATTTAGTACATAATTTTTATTAATATTTTATTATGCATATTTTTTAAATATGATTTTATTTTAAATATAATATTAAGTATTATTTTATTGTTATTTTTTATGTGTATTAAACTAATATTAAAGTTAAAATACAATAAAATACAAACTATTTATTTATTATTAGATATTGATATATAATTTTTTTTTAAATTAATTTAATAATTAATAAAAACAAAAAAAGATAGAATTATTCAATGTGGCTAATAGTAAATAATAAGTTATTTTAATAACAAAAATAAATGATTTTTATAAAATATTAAACATTTTTATTAGTATTTAAACAACTATAATATTTATTTGCTAACTAGAAAAATAGGAAAAATATTTAAATGTTAATGAATCTATTATCATATGATATTTTTTTTAAAAATTTACTAGATCATAAAGCAAATAAAAATATAAAGATTAAAAATTTATAATTTTGCACTCACAAGTCAGTTAGTTTTTAATGCAATATAATGCTTATTTTTAAAAAATATATAGTTTTACATTTTCTGTAAACATATTTTAAATAGTTTATTGAAATAATAAATAAATATATATTTGTTTTTTTGTAAATTTTTGTAAAAATTATTTATTTATTTTATATTTTTTTAGTTATAACAAAAACTTTTTAGAATTTAAATATTTGTATTATAATTAGTATTTTTTTTAAAGAAAGTAATTTATTTTAAAAATTTATTTTAATATTAAATTAATATATTATAGTTGAAAAATAAAATTATTATTATTACATTTGTTTAATTTATACAAATTATTTATTATATATAATTTATATTTATCAATATTAAAGCAATTTTATTAAAAAAATTATATCAAAATTAATTGTAAAGTTATTAAAAATTTAATTATTAAATACTGCATAATAATAAAAAACTAAAATTTTTAACAACTTATGATATTTTTTTAATATTTATTTTTATTACATACATAATATGATGAAATATAAGTAATACAATTATATATAATAAAACTTTCTCTCTCTCTCTCTCTCTCTCTCTCTCTCTCTCTCTCTCTCTCTCTCTCTCTCTCTCTCTCTCTCTCTCTTTCTCTTATTTACTTACACTCAATATAATAATGATAATAAAAATAGTATCAAATATTAAACACTACTGTCTAATATTAATTACTAAATAACTTTTTTTATAAATAAATTTTAGTAATACAATATTAATGTTATGTTTTTATAAAACACCAATACTATCTACCTTATTTTTTTTAGTTGTTTGTTGTTTGTTAAACAATAGTTATGGCAAACAACCCGGTGCTCAAAGTGATCGGTCAGATAACGGTAGAACCGTTAGCTTTTCTATACATGTTTGCCATATTTGGCGAATTTTCTACCTATCAGGATCTCCTATGGGAACGTGTATGTAGCGACTACTTTATGAATAACGGCAACAACAGCAGCAGCAGCAGCACCTGTACTATCAGTAAGGCTAGTAGTACGGAAAGTCAGGCACTGGCCATCATTCAGGCCCGCAGTGCCGACCAACTACTCTACAATAATATAGCAATGACCTGTTCATCAATAGTTGGTTCGTTTATGGCCGGTTCCTATGGCGATATCAATGGCCGCCTATTGCCGCTAACCTTTCCGCCGTTGCTATCGCTGGTCGCACAGGTATTATATCTGTGCTCAGCTTACTATATGTCCCACTCCACCACCACTTCCAGTGTCAATGTGTTGGCTATGCTAACCGCTTGTCAACTGTTGGGCGGCATATCCGGTGCTTCAATCAGTCTGTTGGCCAACTGTTTTGGCTATATATCCGACATAACTGACCCAAAGAGTCGTACTCGTCGTATGATAGCCATCGAGGCCAGTGTTTTTGTTGGCCAATTTCTCGGGTCCATAAGCACCGGGTTTATACTGAAACAGTATAACAATAGTTCACAAACGGCAGCACACAGTTATACAAAATACTACGTGTGCTTTGGACTGTTTCTTGGTATACATACAGTGCTAGTTATATACAATTGGCTACGACTGAGCCGATATCCTGTATCTCATATACAACAACGGGTCGTACGACAGTCGAAGTCCCGATTTTCGGCTAAATCAGTGTACAAATTGTTTAGCGATGTTTTGTCTACCGTTTTCAGGCGCCGTGAGTCCAACAATCGACGGGTAATGTTCCTAATATTTGGTGCATTCATTATGATAACCTATGCATCGGAGGTTATGACTAGTTTGATGTATCTCTATGTACGCAATCGGCCACTACTGTGGCAATCATCTGACTATAGTTTCTATAATGGTATTAAATTTGGTGTTACCGGTGCTGCACTGCTAGTCCTACCAGCCGTACAGCTGTATGTATGGCCAACGATGGGCGATATTACAGTTGCCGTTGTCGGTGTAGTTTCCCGAACGGCCGGACTCGTACTCATCGGGTTTGCCACTAACGGAGCTATGATGTACTCGTCGGTCGCATTGTTAATGTTCAGCGAATATCCGTTACCGATAATCCGGTCACTACTGTCCAAACTGGTCGCTCCCGATGAAAGGGGTAAAGTGTTTGCCTTTTTGACGCTCTGGTATAACCTGTGCTCACTTACCGGCGGTATAGTCTTCCCACTAATCTATAAGCATTCACTGAAAACTGGTGGCTATACCGGCATATGTTTTCAATTGGCCGCCGGTTTTCAATTGGTAGCCATCGGACTGTTAATGTAAGTAACTATTGAAGTACTAGTATATTATAATAATGTTTAAACTATATATATATATATATAATGTATTGATTTTATATTGCAAACTAACAAAATTAATTAAATAAATATATATAATGTATGTATTAAATTAATTTTATTAAATATTTTTATTATTTTAATATAAAATTAAATAATATCTATTTTTTTGTTTCCATAGATACATCAAATATGAACTACCCAAGGCAAACTTAGTACAAATAAGTAATAATGATATTAATACGAAAATTGATCAAGATAATTGTAACTGTAACTATAATAAACAAATAATAGACAATTAATTAAATGTTTTAATAATAGTTTTTTTTTAAAATAATTTAGTAAAATTTAGATATTTAATAATAATTAAAAATATTTATTTTAAATTAAGTAAACTTATATAATATTTATAGTGTTATTGATATTTATAAATTAACTTTTCAAATAATTTTACAATTTTTCAATAATAATTTTTTAATATAAGTTTATCAATTAAATAAAATAAATATTTATAATCTTCAAAATAATAATAATAAATTTATTTATTTATATAATTTAGATATCTTATTATGAAAATATTATATTAATATTAACAGAATCTATAAACAGTAATATCACGTTCACATAAATATATATATGTATATAATTTATATATAAATAATTTATATTAATATAAAACTAAAAAGTTTTATATCAAATAAACTTTAATTGAGATAAATATATATTTATTAATTGTTGATGAAATTTTATATAAATAATATATTGTATTTATAAATTTAGCGAAAATATTATATTATACTTATTATTACATTACTCAACAAAAAAATAATATATTAATAATTAAAAAATTTTGTTTCATTATTATTATTAATAAACTTTTAATAACTTTTATATAATAACCAGTTATTACAACATTATTAAAATTAATTACAATTTAATAAAAAAAATTTAATTAAAAATGTCGAATTTTGAATCTGAATTTATTGAACAACTTTTTGTTAAAAATGTAATTATTTTTTTTTTTGAAAATAATATATTATTATAATTAGTGAATAGTTTGCTTATAATAACTTATTTTTAAAAAAATATTTTTTATTTAACATTAGGCAAAACATATTGTCAACGATATTAAGGAGTATCTTAAAAATGTAAGTTTTTTTTATTTGCTAAAAATTATTTATTATTATTTTGTTTTAGTACTAATAAAATATTTATTAAAAAAAATTAACATGTATATTTTTTTAATAATAAAAAAATAAATAAATAAACATTTAGAATAAAACCGATTTAATAAACTATGCATGGACAATTGGTACAATGGTCAATAGTTTTCGGCAAACTAATAATTTAAAACAAATGGAAATTTCAGCAATCACAAATTTGGATCAACAACAACAACAACAACAAATAAATCCCCTTGATAATCTAATTGATTATCTAGAAAGTCAATTTCAGGAATGTGAAAATTTGGTTAAACAACTACTAGATCAATGTAGGGGCGGCAATAGTAGCCAGGTAAAAAAATACAAGTATATATATATATATATTAAAGGTGTATATTATTTTTGGTATAAATAATATTTTTTTTTTTGTATATTTTCTGCATATATTAGATTTTAACAGCACATTAGAAAAAATTATTAGTAAAATTTTATTCAATAAAAAAACTGTAAATTATTATTTTTTTTCTAAACATAATAACAAATAAAATGTTTTAAAAATTGGTTGTTAGAAAGGATCATGACATAGTAATAAATTAAAATTTATGTAAATTATTAAAATGATTATTTTAATAATTATTTATATTTTAATAATAATTTTAAGTTATGTTTATTTGTTTTCTCTATAATTAATAATTATAAGTATAATTAATATATTTATTTTTAATTTATTTATTACAATTTAGACGGTTATACCTCGGGCTGAATGTATGGACGACAATAGTCAATGTTTCAATGGTATCAACGAGTCGATGGCCAATATGGCCAATACAGTCATGGGCTTAACCCTGGCCTCCAATGCCCTGTTCCTGTATTTTGAATTTGTCCGCCTGGATGAATTCAAATCGATAATTGTCCAAGCACAAAATATAACCCGGGAAGCTGTACAACATAAACTAAATATTGTACAATTGTTGACTGATGTCCAACCAAAATTAGATCAGCTAGATCAATTGTTTTTAAAATTACGTACAGGTGCTACTGGTAATAGTGGCAATGCTAGTACAAGTGTAAAATCATTAATGACCATGACACAATTGATGGGCATAATTAATCAAGTACAATCGGATTTCAATCAAATAGAATTAAGCATAAGTACTGTATATATATATTATTTTTTTCTAACTAATCTTAACTAATTACTAATTAGTTACATACTATTACTAATAACTATTACTAATAACTATTACTAAAACTATTACTAATAACTATTACTATTTCTAATAACTATTACTATTACTAATAACTATTACTATTACTTTATAGCAAAATTGGAGTTTACAATAGGCGATACTAAAACCAAATTGAAAAATTCACATCAATTGAATAACAGTCACATTGCTATCTACAGTATGAATACAGTGTCGACCATCAAAAATCTGGTCACTTTCGGCCGGTTTAGCACAAACAGTCCGTTGTTGTTGGCGGCCAACATTGCCGTCACTGTCGGTATGGGTCTGGCACTGGCCGTTTCGACCAAAATGGCCATTTTATCCAAAGAGGAAATCGGTAAATTGGATCATATACTGGATGAAGTGGTACAGTATAAGCAAATTTTTGGGTCACTTAAGGATCGTTTTGATAAAATTAATGATAGAATTCAACAATTTATTGAAAATCAGTAATAGTATCAATAAAAATGATTTTGTGATTTAATTTGGTTAACTTGTGTGTGTGTGTGTGTGTCAGTGAATATATGTAAATTGATTTATATTATTTTTAATTATTTTTATTAGTTTGCTATAAAAACTAATATTTTATGTATATTTTATTCAAACTTTATAATATTATTAGTATATAGTATTTAGATACTGACTTTTTTTTAATATGCTAAAAATATGACTGTATTAAAAAATAATTATTTAAATAATAAAAATAATATTTGTTATTATTAATTTTTTTCTATTAAATATATTTTTTAATTGTCTAAAAAAATTTCAATAATTACTATTTTCCAATATTATTATTCGGCTATCTTCTAGTATTATTTTATTTGTTTCAATTGTATAATTATTTTTGTTTATCTATTTAATTGCTTTTAATGTTATAAATACTTTTTGTTTTATGTATATTTTTATTATAAAAAAACTGTATATTTTTCTTAATTAATAATTATTAGTATACAAAATTAAATACTTGATTTGCTAATAGTTTTTTGTAAGAAACCGTTATTATAAAGTAGTTTTTCAAATCACAATTCAAAACAATTATGGATTATTATATTTGTAAAAATTTTTTTTATTAATTAATTAATTAATTGTCTTATTTTTATTTATCTAATAAATTTTCAATAATTTCCGGCAATTTTCCAATACTATTATCCGATTGTATTCTCTGTGCTATTTTGGCTAACCGTTTCTCCAGTAGGCTATCCTCTAGTAGACTATCGACTGCTTTGATTAGTTCATCTTCAGTACATTTGTGTGCATTCAGTGACAATCCCAATCCTTTTTCGGCAATCCTCTGGCCATTGTCCCACTGGTCACCCCATAGTGGCAATACTAGCATTGGTTTACCAAAATACAGGGTTTCGGTTACGGTATTATTGCCGCCGTGTGTTATGACCAGATCGACAACTGGCAGCACCTGTATCTGCGGTACACTGCGTCGGCCCCACATATTATCAGGCAAATCGTATAGTCGATCGCCCGGTCCTTTCGACACAATAAACCGGTTCCTGGATTTGGCCAAAATTCCAACCAAACGTTTCATTAGGTCAACATCGGCGCCGCCCATAGAGCCCAACGAAAAGTATACTAATTTTCCCGGTTTTCCCAGCAATGACTCCGGTATTTCAAACTTGGGTCCAGTGTTGACCTCCTGGCGCTTAAGATTGTCAAATCGTAGCCATTTGTCAGGCAATGGACGTATGTCCAGATAGTCTAACTCCAGCGGAAAACCATAAATGTTTAGATAAGGAGAGAAATGTTGGTAACGATATTTGTCTAGCGGTTGACATCCCTGTCCCATACAATATGAGTTCCAATAGGTCCACGACTCTAGTGATGCCTCGTTGACGACATTTCTGAATGATTGCCACTCGGATTTGGGACCAGTTGTAGGCAAACCTATTGTAATATTTTTTTTAAAAAAACATTAAATTATAATTTAATTTTTTTAAGTATTAGACAGTGATTTATCTAGAAATATAATTAATTAAAATATATATATAGTTTTTATAATAGATAATAAAAATTAATTTACAGTATTATGTATTATATTATAATTATTATTAAAAAAATTTACATTTAAAAAAAATTACAATTCGACTTCCTTAAATGTAAAAATAATAAAATTTTGTCATAATATTTTATAATGATTAAACTGACTATAACTTATAAAATAACTTATGATTAATAACTTAATAAATTATCAAAGTATATAATTACAATTTTTTGCTAAAAAAATAATACTAATTACTTAAATTACAGTAACTTACAAATTAATATAAATTTATAATTAAATTAATATAATTTTTAATACATATATATTTTATATTAATTATATCAATCATTTAAACAAATACCTGAACAACCGGGTGGCGTACGGTCGTCATCAATAAACACCAATGGATTAGGACTGCACCACCAGATCCAAGGTATACCACTAGTCATAATAGCCGGTACTGTCATAAACTGATCGGTTAGTACGATATCGGGTCTGAGATCCCGAAGCAGGCGTTCAATGGATTGATTAACTGTTTCCAAACGTTTCATTTCGCTCATATACAGGTGCTTACGGACATTGACCAGCCGTACAAGTGGATCTAAATTGGTGAACGTATCGGTTTGTTTCATAAGGTTAGCCCATTGTAGGGCTGCATCATCAGCACCGCCACCACTATTACTACTGTCCTCAGCACCGGTAGGTTTTTTATCTCCCTCATCGAGTATCAGTTCTTCAATACCATATTTGCATAGCTTTCCTCTCCACTGTTCACTAATAATAAATATTACCCGATGGCCGGCCTCTAGTAATACCTGTGCGATACCAGTGGCCGAGTTAACGTGTCCGACAGCGTCAATAGGAAACAGTACTACTTTTAGGTGTTTTCCCATATTATTATTATATAATTAATTATTACTAGTTTTTTGTAACACATTTTTTAAAAAACACAATATTTATACTAAAATGTGTTTTCATATCTGTGTTAAACAATTTTATGTAATACAGTATACAATCTAATATTGGATTAATGTTATTTATATTATCACTATAAGTATTAATAACTATTGATATCTCATTTTTATATTAGATTAATAACACTAATTAAATAAAAATTTTTTCCAATTAATTATTAATATGACCTTGAGCAAATATTACAAAAATAATGTTACGCTCTATAAACGTTTATTTGATTTCTAATTGATTATTAACATCTAGATAATTTATTACAATACTATTTAGTACTTATATTTAATTTATTATAACTATTGATTAAATTATTGAAATAAATTATGTAATATATAACAGTGTTTTAAAATAATGTAAACTATAAAAGTTTGTTATCTAGATAAGTTATTGAATACTTATAACTATTATTGAATTTATTAATTTAAATATAATTATAAAACTCTAATTTAAAAGTTTATTTAACTTTTTTTTTAATTAATAAACTCAATAACTATTATGTTGCTAGTGTGCACAATAACTAATAATTTTTACAAATTTTTGCTAAATAATTTTTAAAATTACATCTATAATAACTATCATTTTATTGTAATTAATAATAAATAATACTAATATCAAACTTAATTAGAATAATAAATAAATATTGTTTAAATTATAATATTTTTAATAATATTTTAGTTTTTTGTATATATTAAATAAATATATAAATATCAAACAAACTGTAATTTATTATAATAAAAAAATTATTAGTTATTTATAAATTGATATATAATTTTATTAGACTAAACTCAGTATAAAACAAAAATTTTATTTCAATACTTTTTTATTTTATTTAAAAAAACAAATATTTTTTTAAAAAGAGTTTTAGTGTCAATAGGAAAAAATATCTCTATTTTTATATATATTTTCCCAGAGATTTATAGTCTAAATAAATTATTTATTATTATAAATTTTAAATACAAGATTTTATTATTTATTTTTATTATTAAAATAAATACTTAAATTATTAAAATTTAAAAAAATGATAATATATATAATTTAGTTTTTAAAGACTAGTGTTTCCAATTTGTTCAACAATTGCGACACCTGATCAAACATACTGTTCCAGTGTTTGTACGGTAATTGTTGCTCAGGTATTGATTGAGATGACTGGCCAGTTGTCTCGACATTTTGCTTAATTGAGCCGTCATTGTTGTCCACTTGTTTGCTGTCGACAATCTGGTCACCGTAGATGTTGTTGACAATTAATAATAGACTTATTATTGAAAACACTTTAGCAAACATTGTTGTAATAAAGAAAAAAAAAATTAATTATTATTAATAAATGGTTACAAAATAAAATAACTTTTTTTCAAATAAAATAGTTAATTACTAATCAAATATAATGTTTTAAAATAATAATAATAATTGTTATGATATATTGATTTTATAACTAAATAATATAAGTAATGTTAATAGTTATGAGGGCTAATTTGCATTAATAAATATTAGTGTATTATAATTACCTACATCATATTACATAATATACTGTACATATTTTAATCAAAAAATAAAATTTTTTAAATAGTTTATTTGAGATATCAGTATAATAGTTATTATGTTTTTTTATTATATAAAATACACAAGTTTAAAGTTTCAAAAAATAATTAATGATTTAATTAAAGCACAATTTTTTATATTTTTATATAATTGATAACTGTAATTTTATATAAAAGTTAAAATTTATATAATATTTATAAATTGTTTCTATAAATATTAGGATAACTTTTTTTATAAATTAACTTAAATTTATATAATTATATTTTTTGAATAATTTTCAAGTAAGCTTGTAATAAAAAATAAATATATTAATAATTATTTTTCTATGATTTTTGTATATCAATAATGTTTCTATAAAATAAATGTCAATTTGATATATAATTTATAATTTAAATAAATTTAACGTTTAATTATAACAGTAAATGAAATAAAAATTATTAGTAATATGTTTTAATTAAAAATTAAATATATATATATTAGTTAAAAAATAGATAATTTTTAAAACAACATTTATATATTAAACTGTAATATTAAAAAAAAACGATTATTTTACTAATATTTAGATTTTAATACTATATTTAAGTTAGTTGTGACTTAGGGCAACAAAATATTATAAATATTTTTTTTTAATTATTATTTTAATTAAAAAAAAATAATAAAATAAATTAATTTATAACATTTTAATAAACAAAAAATTTTATAATATTTTTCAATATTACAAATAGTATAAAGTATAAAAAAAATATTTCAAAAAAATATAGTCGCCACCGGGTGGACTCGAACCACCAACCTTTCGGTTAACAGCCGAACGCGCTAACCGATTGCGCCACGGAGGCTACATATTGAGTACACTATTACTAATAATAATATTGAATTTGCCTTGATAATTATTTTTATCTATAAGTTTAAAATATATATAATATTTTATTGAATTATCATTGAATTTATTATATTTGTATAATATTATTGCTATTATTTGTATAACTAGTGATACAAATGTTATTATTATTGTTTATAATACTATATTGTTATTGTTGTACACTATATAGTATATAATATATACAGTATAACTATTAGTATAGATAGAAATTACTAATTATTTATACATAATTTTTTTGTGGACACTATTTGATATTATTATTATAATTTTATTAATATTGTCTTAATTTTTAAAAAATATATAACTATAGTAGGATTAATAGTAATTAAAGTTTTAGACAATTATAAACCATTCAATATATATATAAATATTTTTAAAAACATAATTGATGTGTGAATTGTTTATTGTTTGACAGTTTTTATAAAATTTTTAATACATTGTAGTGATTCATACATAGAGTATGTGTAGATTTAATGGTAGTTTTAATAATATTATTGGTGTAAAACATATACACATATAATATTTTTTTGATTAATATTTAAATATTTTTAGAAAAAAACAAGTTATTAAAAATATTTAATAATTATTTTTTGTTTCATTCAAAAAAATATAGTTAAAAACTTAACTTGATTATTTTGTTTATTATTTGTTTAGTAGTATTAAATTGTCTATTAAATTGCAAATTTTTTTTCAACAAAATAATAATTAATTAACTAATTAATTAAAAAAAATATTAATCTATTAAGTAATTTATGATCTCATCGGTAAATATATGATATATACCTATATATAGTTACCGAAACTAATATAACATTTATTTTTTTGATGACCAGTAGTAGTAGTATTCAAAAAAAAGTGGTCACACGTGTTAAGGACGTTCAATAAAACGTGTTTTTATTAATTTATTTGAATTACCCGATCGATCGTTATTGTCGGCCACCAATTGAAAGTTGTTGTCTATCATATACCCCCCGAATCATATACCGATTATGTTTACCGCCGCCGACAATGATGACGACGATGACTGTCATCTTGGACGACGAGGATTGTCAACAGATTGTCCGCTCATTGCCGGCGACCGCAAACGTAAACGCGGTATTAGTGGCCACGAGTTTTCATTGAACGATGCCCTACTCGGCCTACGGGATGTCATCGATGCTAAAGAGTCGTCGATTGATACACTGATACATGAAAATCGGGAGCTCAAGCTAGAGGTCGCCCAATTGAAAGCACTGGTAGCCGACTATGAGAGCCGTTTGGCTGCCAAACAATCGTTGTCGTCGTCGTTGTCGTTGCCATTGATGTCACCGACCGATAGGACAGTGCCGATGATAAGCATCGATAGTTTTGCTACCAATAATGATATAACTACTGGACAGTTGACTTCCGACCAGTTGTTGTCTATTTCCGGTGATAAGACAGCCGATGGCCGAACCAATAGTTTGATGATTACTGCCAACGATCCGCACATTTGTCACAATTTAAACCAATTGAAGATCTGATTTATAATTAACAACACATTTAATAACATATTGTATAATCACTTAATCATTATATTATTATTATTATTATTATATTTATACTTAACTCTCATATATTCATATATAATATATAGTATATATATGTAATTAAAAATATTTATTAATTCATAAAAATTTTTGTGATATAATTATAATAATTTTTTTTTTTTTTGGATAATTAACTACTAATTTATTATTATTATTATTATAAGTACCGGTAATTATATTATTGAAAAAAAATAAAATCAACATAATTATAATAAATAAATAAATTGTTTTCTAGTTAAATACAGTACTACAATAAAAAAAAGTGAAATAAATTATTTATAGTTATATTATTTATTATTTATAAAATTGATATTAAATAAATAAAAAAAACCAACAAATTAGACAATAACCTTAATATAATTATTTAAAAAAAATAGATAAACTTTTAATTATTTATTTACAATAACAAACCTTATATAATTTTTAATTAGTAATTATTTAATTATATTTGATTAAAATAAAAAAGGCCCCTCTGACGTAAGCTAAAATAATAATTATAAAAAAAATAATAAACAAATTTATATTTTATTTTTTTATCTACAGTTTAAAAAAAATAACTATTGAATTAATTATACAGTATTATATTGATATTTAATAAATAAAATTAGAAATACATCTAGGTTAAACTTTATAAAATACATATAAAAAATAAAATTATATTGTTTTTATCTATCAACAGTTTTTTAATGCAAAAGTTAACTTTACACTATTTTGTGGGGGGGAGGTGGGTGGGCATAAAAAACAAAATTTTATTATAATATTTTGTGGGGGGCGTGGGGGCAATGAAGTGATGAAAACAATTTCAGGCTATTAACATATTAAATACAGACAACTATTAATATAAAATTTAAGTTAATTTATATTTACAGTTTTATTTTACTAAAAATATAGTAATTAAATATTTATTCATTTTAAATGCTAAAATATAATATTATCAATTTAAGTGACTTTATTTTATGAATTTTACGATTTATTTAAAATATATAAATTAATATTTTACAAATTCTG